TATGGGTATATGTAAATAGAGGCAAATAGGTGAAAATGCATGATGATTATCTCTTGTTTGGCAGGAATGATTTCCATGATCTCGGCTAAACACTTTGTTTTCCCACTCAGTCTTCCGAAGTAACGCACCTCCCAGCTCCCAACAATGAGATTAAATAACATCACTTTTTTTTTTTATCTCTGAGTGTCCTAGTTTATAGCTTTCAGATATTATTAGGTTGTGCATTACTTAGATGTAGAAGGAATGATGCACTTTCTCTACTGAGTGAAATTTGGGGTAATTTCAATGGTATGTTGAACTCTGTGATGCAGAATTGGCAACTCTGTAATGTCATCTGCTACACAAATTGATTGCACTTAATGGCAGGCTGTATAATACTTTTTCTTGCGGTACTGATCAGTACTGACCTGTCTGGGCAGATGGCTAGTTCTGTTGATTATATATCCATCACAACTTCTGTTAATTATCTGTTGATTTTTAACTCTTTCTCCTTATTTTTGCATGGTGTTTTGTGGAGAGAAGTTTATATTTCAGAGAGCTTAAATCTGCAATGCCGGCCTACAGGAATGTTAACTTTCTTTTAACAGTCATGTTTAATATATACAGAGAGCATCCAGCTCTGAGAGGCCATTTGAACATCTTCAAAGAGTTATTGAATTGTTTATTGATCTACTTCATTACTGCTGTTCCTCTGGTTCCTTTTGATGTCTTGTCACTTTGTTCAAAATATAATGCCAGGGTTTTAAATTAATAGTTGTGCGGGAAGCCCTACATGTGTAAATATTAGGGTATGTTTCTCCTTTGAGTGAGAATGTGCCAGATTGCCCAGTAAACATTGCTGCCATCAGAGTTTTATCCTTTTTCATGCCCCTCCCTTTGCACAAAGACTCCTTCCCCTCTTCCTCTTAAAACTGAAGTGTCTGAGGTTTTATCTTTTAGGTTTTATAACAGTCTAATCTCTTATTCTGCAATTGGAAGCTTACAGACTAGTTCCCTGCTTAGGGAAATAAATTTGATTAATTTTCCCTCTTTCCTTTAATCTTTTCCATGTGTCTCTCTTACATTTGTTAAATTCACGAATTAAAAGTGCCTGATGATTTTTTTTTCTTTCATTAATTTATTTAATCACTTTTATAAGCTTTTTAAGCTTCTGGAATAGACAGCATCCCATGGCAAGGAGTTCCATAGTTAGTATATTGATTACTTGGAAAAGTGCTTCATTGTTAATCCTGCCACCTTAATATTCGTTTTTGGATTTTAATTTTTTTTTTTTAATAGTGGGTAATAATTCTGTATTTATGTTCTAAGCCATGCAGGATCTTAAATATATTTGTCATATCCTGCACCAGTTGCTTCTTTTAACTGTTTGCTTATTCCTCATATGCAAGTTGTTCCATATCTTTGGTCATCTTGGTCACCTCTCAGTATCTCATCTCTTTCTAGATTTTGCATTTAGCTCTTCTAGTCCGTTGGCTGGTCTTCTACCCTTAGTGTGCACCCACAGCAACAGCAGGAGCTTGCTTGATATCAGATAAATTTTTGTGATAAATTAACGCAGAAGCGTGTTAAGCAGCAGAGTAAGAAATAAGGCTTCCCGCTGGTGATAAGGCAGGCTCAGAATCGTTTCATTTAGATGTACAGCTTCTCCGGATTAATGTCTTGGGACTGCCTATAAGGCAACCCTGCCTGTTTGCACTCTTCCAGCTTCTAGCCCACCTCCCCTTTCCAGCAAAAAACCCCTCCATGGCCACTGTTTTCCCGGTGCGCTTACACACACGTGGCCGGTAATCACAGAGCTGTGTGCTCATGGCTGTGCTGAGTAGCCGAATCGCATAAATGAGCCTGTTCGAGTTATCGGTTGCTTCTGGCTGAAAAGGCAAAGGTTTGTGCCATGAAGCTGTCAGATCCATGGATTACTGATGTTCAGTGGGTGTGATACAGGACAATTTTTATTTTCTCCCTTTTTTTAGAAGAAGCCCCCAAGTCACTCCTCCCTTGCTCTCCCCCACCCAAAATGGTGGGAATGAGCTGAAATATTGCAGAGGTGGGGAAAAAGGCTCTTAAAATAATATTTAAGGTTGCAGAACATAAGCCGTTACACTTGAAATGGCCAAAGTCAAGATTACCTGTGCAACATTAGATCTTCCTTCCTTTGTGCATGCAGCGCCATCAGTCTTTAACCGCTTGCATGCTGTTTTCTGCAGAACTGCAGATATTTCAACAATCCCAGAAATATTGTGAAATCATAGGGTAGAGCTAGATGTGTTTATTGATGAGATTTCTTTTTTTCCTGCTGGCCCTACCCTTTCGTTGTTATATTTCAGCACGTAGCTTGACTACAGCGCTTCTGTTTCCCATCTCATTGTAAACCGTGTTTCCTTACCGTTTGAAAACCTACTTCAAATGTAACTGAATAAAAAGCATCATAGAAAACCACCTTAGGAGGGGAAAAAGGAGAGCAAATCCTCAGCTGTACAGAGCTGCCAGTAATGTTCAGAAGCTGACAAAGATGAACTGCTCACCTAAGCGTAAATAGTCTTCAGAGTCTGGGTGTTTCTTGCCTTGTGAAACTGGGTGCACCATACTCATTACTTCTGCTCCTTTTTAAGTATTCGGTGATCATGTCATTTACTTTGTGTAGCATGAGGTTCTGTTGCAGTCACTTTTCACTTTGCAGTACACAAAGACGAGGAGTCAACCGAGTGTCTGGTCTACAGTGAAACTAGCAGCTAACTGTAGCCCAGCCTGGTGTTTTGTGATCTGCCATGTACTTTACATTGAAAACACCCAGGATAAAATGCCGCAAAATTGACGGGTTTTCATTGAGGGAGGTTGTCAACTTTTCCACTGTTTACATACTGAAGGTAAGGACTTTGCTATGACACAAAGACACTTCAGGAAGATTTCAAACAGCAGCAAAAAAATCCTCTCTTTGGGGAAGAAAATATATTGTGTAGGCTGTTTATCATTTTGAAGTTAAAACATCTTTTTCCCCAAGAGTATTAGCTGTTTCAATGAGGAAAAACTCTTAAATTTTTTTAAAGCTGTTAAGTAACCAAAAAGTCAATAATATGTATAAAATGTGTAATAAATGTCAACTTCTGTGCCTTTATTCCACAATACACTGTCGTACTGAAATAGTGCCCTTGCATAGGCTGAAGACACCATTTTTGCTGAGAGGGCTTCTGTTTGTGAAGGTTTGTACTGCCCCATAAAAAAAACCCCCAACTTTGATAATTTTTAAATAGCAACAACTCTGTATCTTCTGATTAAGATTTTTGGAAAATACCTTCACAAAAGGAAACCCGTTAAGAGAATGGGTACTGTGCCACAGGAATTCTTCTCAGGAAACAGAAGTACAGAAAGCTACTACCTCGATACTTAAGTCCCATTCTGCTTTGCTGGTCATGTGAGCTTTAATTCTCTTAATTTTATATATTTCATTTCACAACATCATTCTTTCCTTTCCTCCCTGCTGGAGGAAAGGACCATTTTCTGGTCCTTTCTTTCTCTTCTTTTCTCTCCCCAGTCCTCCCTACAAGAATTTTGTACTGTTTGCCCATTAGGTTAAACCAGAATATTCCTGCCTGCATCATGTAGAGCATTTCAAATGAGGCATGTGTTGATTATTGGACCTGAAGGAGGAGAGGTCCAAATCATAGCAATGGGTTAGCATAGTTTTCAGAGTCGACAAGGCTGTACGCTGGGATTAGGAGGGAATCAGCCCATTGGGATCTGAGGGTGCTGCTCCTGCTGTCTCCCTATTATTGTCATTCAAATGACTTGCAGACTTGATTGGTAGACTAAAGCAGTTGATATCACGACCCCTATGCTATATGCAGTTCACAGTTTTAATTTTAGACTAGATTTAATTTGCTCCCCAGGACTAAGCAGTCTCACTGCATTTGGGGTTCAAAGCTAAAGGACTGCTCATTAGTTAGACCTGCCCTGGTAAGAGATGAAGGATTGGAGCACAGCTCCACATGTAGTTTCCTCTCAAAAAAGTGTGGTTGCATGTGCCAAAACTGCCCCAGATGCGGAACGATCATGCAGAGGGAGAGCTATAAAACTATACTATTGCTCCAAGCTAAGGTGTTAGTAGAGACACAGCCTATATTAATCTTAAAGATCTTTTGCCCTGGTGTTCCTGGTGATAGTGTCCATTATGGTAGTATTCAGGATTATTGTGGCTTTGGCTAATCAAAGCTGTTAGCTCCTGCTCTTTCAGGTGTCACTAATTGAAGTCCACTGACTTAAATCCATTGTTTGTTTTAAGAAAGGGGGAGGGGAGGAAGAAAGAAAAAGACTTTGGGGTTGGGTTTTTCTTTTTCCTTTTTTTCCAGTATTGTCCCTGTCAACATGCCACAGTTTCATCTGAAACAAGGGATGCATGAAGCTTTTCAGTCTGGGTTTTGTTTCTCTGTATTTTTTATCTTTGTTTAATTTGCTGACTGGCAGCTGGAAAATCACTTAATCAGCATATCTGGCCCAAATACTAGGCTTGACTTGAATGTACTGACAGTGTCTTGGCTCATGCACAACTGAGACTAGTTTGAATTCTTATTCTATGATCTGTATAGGTAGCGGTGATGGAAGAAGAAGAAAATAATAGGCCGAAAATCTGTCTTGTTCCCTTCCCAGCTGTGCCACAGTAGTCAACCCCCAAATGCCTATTTTGATCTCGTTTGTAACCTCACGTAGCTTCTGACTTACAAGACCCTCTGTGGGAAGAGGGCCAGCTCTCCATTTCTGCTGCTCAATTTGCAGGCCTGTGTTCGAGTCCCTTCGTTCTTTTGCCCCCTCTGAAGCACCAGCTTATTGCATTTACTTCTGTGACCTAAGGAGCTGCTGAGCCATGTCACCACATTGGCAGTTCTCTTTGGCCAACACAGAAAGTATCTTTTCCCTCTCTGAATCCAGGGAAGTCATCTGAACCAATTACTATGGGAAGTCCTATCATGACAAGATCCAGAATTAACTTACTACCTTATTTTTTCCAGGTACTCTACCTCTGCATTCTCCAAACTAAGCAAAGTAGGGATCCGACATCCTCCACCTCTTCCTTTCATTGGAAACCTGCTCTTTTTCCGTGAGGTAAGATATGGTCTTCTTTGTATCTATCCAAAGTGATGGGAAGAGTGGATAGGAGGTGGGAGGAATTGAAAGGAATCCTACACTTCAACAGTACCATCTCTCCAAGCAACTCCTTCTGGAAAGAACAAGCAAAACGCTGCTTTTTGAGTGAATTGGTAGAAGCAGTTGTGTGCAAACAGCTCTAATTTCAGGGTAAAGTAAACTTGAGGGAAAGAAAATGTGTGAGCTCCTGCAGTTAATTACTCGAGCTTTTCCAAGAAAGTTCATGCCCTCAGTGAAACAAACTTAGTTATGTGAATAGAGCAGATTATGTTAACTAGCCCCAACTGGTTTGTTCTGAGTGGTTCTGGCTCCTGCGACCTTTCTGTTTGTTTGTGCTTTTGCTGATTGTACACATTTATTTTAAAGCTTGTAACATTGCTTGCTCCTAAGCAGTAACTGGAATTGGGTATCACCAAACACTGCTGCTCTGTGCCCCCAGTGTTGCCATCCTGGACTGGGAGGAGGGAGGGAGGAGAAGTATTGGGATTCTCCCTCCAGATATCATTCCCTTATTTTTCTCACCCATCCCTTTAGTCTGCTAACACTGTCATTTTTTGTTCCTTACTCAATTTCAGTAATGCTTCTGAGGGTCCAAGATCTCTTAGTAATGAGGAACTGCCATTTCTCTGGCTGGATCTTACAGTAAAATCTTTCTGGTGCACTTCTCTCGCATTCCAGCAACTTTTCAGGAAACCCGGGCTAACTCCAGGTGCTGCCTGATTTCCTGTTTTAAGTGCACGGTCATCAATATCCATGCTGAGATTTGAATTATTAATGAGAATATAGTGCCTCTTACCTTGGTCTTCACTGTGATTGTTCTGTCAATATCTGACTCATTATTAGGTAAAACCCATTTAAATACCAGTTTTACACGTACATCTGATTTCATTTAGAAAATAGCGTAAAAGGTAGACTTGATCCGCTCTTGATTAATTTGAACTGGCATTGACAGGGTGACTTTAACATACAGAGGATGCTGGCGGTGTGGAATAGAGACCAGTTCACCCTCATTTTTCTGGTTTCAATTCAGCTGGATGGTATGAACCTACTCATTCTGTAGCTTTTTGGTGACAAAACCCAGTTATCACTAGTCACCTGCTAACACTTGCTGTAGGAGAAGGTGCCTAGAGACTAAGTTATTTTGATAAGTTGTAGATAGGCTTGCCCTGTACCAAGTACAAGTGGAAAATTGTTGCAAACCATTTTATCTGTGATCTGTTAGGCAAACTTCATTTCCAGAATTGCATTCATCAAATTCCCTTAAAGCAGGCTAATGAAGAAAAGATAAATTTGACTTTACGAACTTTTAGGACAAAAATAAATTAAAGGTAGCTGAGAAATTATATCTTAGAGTACCAAGAAATAATAATTCCGGACAGGGTTTTGAAACAGAGTCGAGTGATGCAAAACCACAAGCCCCACCAGGCTGTGTGTTCAGCACTATGACATTTCACCGTCTGTCTTCTCTACAGTCCTATTGCTGCCGGTAGGAACAGGCAGGGATGAGTCCAGGCTCTTTGTAATTTTCTTTCTTCCCTCGTATATTTTGCTGTGTTTTCTGGACCTGCTCCTGTGGCGGCTTTCTTAGAAATAGTGCCCATAGCAACGCGCCAGTAATAGGAGGGCTGCTTTTATACCGCCGGCTGTTCTCCAAGAGAGCGTTTTCAGGGACACAAGTGTCTCACTGCAGTCAGTACAGGACAGCTTCCACTTTCCGTTCCCCAGCAGGGGGGCACCAGAGGCTGCCCATCACCTTCCTGGGGATGGGGATGGTTTTAAGGGCTTAGCTGAGAGGGGCACAGCTGTGCACAATCAGTGGTTGTTGGGACTGGGGTTACTTTTTTATTTTTTTTTTTCCAGAGGAAGTAGCAAAACCTTGATTTGCTCTGGTGCTGTATCTATAATGTTAAGAAGTTCTTGCACTTGTGTTTTTATGCAACCATATCTTTTCACTGAACTGGCTTTTTAGAGAGTCTTGCTTTTAAATGGTCCAGCTCCTTCTTGGCGTTGCCAATGTTGTGCAGGGAAAACGCATGAGCTGCATTCCCACTAAATCCTCAGACTAGCGGTTTTCAAGCCATGAACATTTATTTAAGATGAATTAATGAATGGTGACTAAGAGGGATGGATTGATATGTGCTGTATGGGAATCTGCGTATGCGCAATTCATACGTTTCCAGCATCAAATTTGGTCTGCAAATCAACACAGGTTGAAAGGCCCTGCACAACAGTGAGATCTAGAAGACAAAGGGAAATCAAAACACTTCAATGTATACAGCCTTCCAGTCCAAAAAGTATCCTCATCATGTGGTTTCAGGCTTTCCTCCTAGAATACGATTGCTAGAAGCTTAAGGAAAAAAATCAAGGAGGACAGGGAGTCCCTTTGACATAATCATGTAAATCTAGGGCCTGAGGATTTAAGAAAAAATCATTAAATATCAAAAGCTCTCAACTAAATTGTGGGAGTAAGCAGTATTTTTCAATTTGCAATGGCATAAATTCAAGGATTTGCCTGTTTTGTCCCTTACTTGGGTGTAAATCAGCTCTAAGAGATGTTCCTGTTTTGCTCTACTGTATATGTGAACAGAGAATCAGGCCTTACTGGGATTTTTTTTGCCATTCTTCTTCTTCTGTAAGCGTGCTTGAAAACAAATGTACAATTCAAGCAGGACCAATACGGGATTTTTTTTGCCATTCTTCTTCTGTAAGCGTGCCTGAAAACAAATGTACAATTCAAGCAGGACCAATAGTGCTTGGTTGTGGGGTTTTTAATGTATTTTAAACAAGACAATGTTTTCTCTGTGAGAGGGTTTTTTGGGTTTTTTTTGTTTGGGTTTTTTTTTTTGACAATGTTTTCTCTGTGAGAGGGTTTTTTGTGGTTTGGTTTTTTTTTTTTTTTTTTGAAAGAGTTATTTCAAGGATTTCTCAAACAGTATGTTTTCTCTGAGTAAAATAAGAGTTGCTGTTAATATAGTGTCTCAGAGTGGAAGAGGAAGTGCTGAAAGTTAAGGGGCTAAGGGAAATGCAACAGGAAAGACCCATCTCTGTCACAGAGAAGCAGACTTTAAGATCTGACTTGGGGAAAACAGAAGTTATTTTACTGTAAGTCACCCCGTCTCTCTCAAGTCCAATAAAGGGAGATAATCGCACCCTGAAACTAAAACATATCCAAGTTAATCGGCTTATCTCAAAAATGAGAAGATAGGAAATTATTGCAGCTCTGCAGCTGGGAAATTATCCGAGTCCAAGATATTAGATTAAAAATTCTTCCATTGCATGAGAACAATTCGTGGTGGGTAAGTCTGATGTAATAGTAAATGTGATTAGGCTGCTTAAAAAAAGCAGCATGTTCAGTTTTCCCAATAACCAAGCAGACTTGCAGCAGACAGACCTGTATTTTGCCAGAAACTCCTGACTGTTCCCCCACCTCTCCATGTACTGCATTTTTCCTGCCTGTCTGTGAGGAAACATGAGGTTTGTTTGTGATAGCTGTGTGATGGGAGACACAAGGGTATACACAGCACAGACTTTCACACGTGGATCTGCATGGGCTTCGGAGCAGCAGTTTGCAGAAAAACTAAACAAAACTCTCCTATTAATTCCCAGGCTAATGATTTTATTACATGACAAATGCTCTGAAAAGCGAGAAGGCACACACGCCGCGTTACCCTTCCTCCCGAAGAACCACGGCAAACACTTGACCTGTTGCTATGGCTGTGCCGTGCTTTTCTTCCCCTTTCCCATCCCTTTTCTAAAAAGGCAGCTATGCTGTTTTTAAACATCATTGGCTCCGATACTGGAATGGCTCTGGCCGCCTGGTACTGTACCTGTGGGCACTGCTCCCTACCCAGCCTTCGGGAGAGCAGTGCTGTGCTGCCGCAGCAGCCCTGGGGCTGGCGTCTCTGGTGTTTTGGGGCAGTGGTAGGTGTGGGGTGGGCTGCCTTGCCGTGGCGCTGGGTAGGCGGGATGTGCAGTTGCACCCTGTGTACAGTTGGCTGCTGTGCTTTGGGTCCTTATAATGGCGTGATCATGTGCTGCTTTCCTCCTATTACTCCTAGCAAGCTCCAGTGATGCTTTTGACTGGCTGTGTGCTTGTATCCCTGCCTTGCATTTTAATGAAAGACATCACTCTCTTTAGCCCCTCTCTGCTTGGACAGGATACTCTTTGTTTACTCTGTTTATTTCTGTCTGGCCTACTTGTAGATCCTGGGCTACCCTGGAGCGGCCCGGGTGGAAGTGGGGGCTGTGTGGCTGCTTTGTCTTGCTTTCACTTTGGGATCTGGCTGGGCTGTGTTGTTTTATGGCTGATGGGCGGGAGTGGAGAAGGAGGGCGTGCAGGGAGGAAGCAGAGAGAAAACATGATCTTTTTCCACTACACATCTGCCAAAAGCATCCTTTGAGTTGGATGTAAAGAAAAATAAAAGGCAGAGTGCTTGCAGGAATGAAATTAACCCCCTGTCTAATTTTCAGCTGGGTGTCAAGTGCTTAGAGAGAGAAGCTGCAGAGTTTACTGTTGTGGAATTTAATGACATAGCATGTAAACCCAAACAAGGTTGGAAAGAGGCAAATGGTGAGGGGAACA